TGGTTTACAGGCCACTTCATAATTTTTGAATCTCTGATGTATTTTGTCAATTTCCTGATGTTTTTAGATATAGGAGAAACATTTTGCCCTTGCATGAATTATTAATGAAAATATACATTCAACAAGACATCATTCAAACATCTTCCCAAACATAGTATCATACGCAGAACTCCTCAGAGAATAGAGACAAGCTATATGGCCTCTCAAACCCACTGAGAGCATTGGTCAAAAACAGTGACAAAAATACAGAGAAAAATATCCTCAGATTTGATAGTCAGATGGTAACCATAATTAGGATATGAAGAGAAAGTATAGTTTTGCTTCCTAGAATTCATCTTCTGGTGCTGTTTTTTTTCCAAAATGCAAACACCCCAAATCTATGTGGCTCACAAGAATTTCTACCTGGGAGATTTTTCCAAAAAAAGGAAGCAGAGTGAATAAATAGTACACTGGGCAGAGAAAAGGAAAATCTAGGTTTATTGAGAGAGAAAGTGATCTCTAAGTCACAAATTTGGGACTAGATTAATATATATAAATATATATATGATATAAATATATATATGATATAAATATATTAATATGAATATTTATGCTAAAAGCAAATGGCTTTATGAACCAACAGCTGTTGGTAGATTAGCAGAGTTGTGAGGATGAGCTGACCCTCATTTTTCTCCTAAAGGATGTTGGGAGTGAAAGACCATGACCTTTCAGAGGCTTAGCTTTCATGGGAACAAAGGTGAGAAGAGCCAAGAATAATCACAGGAGGAGCAGTTACCAAGAGTGCTACTTCAAAACCCTCAGCCATACTTTGGGCTGTAAAGGTGAGGGAGAGGAAATGGGTCCTAACTGGGGCATGACTAGACTTTCTCTTCTGGTACTGAGGTGGACTAAATTCTACGCTAGAAGCAAATGGCCCAAGATCACTAGAAAAGAAGATGCCAGGAACCTCAGAAGCCATTCTGTTGAGCCAGCAGACAGAGTTTGTGGTGCACCTCATCTCTGTCAACAGTGTACCAGCAAGCAGCCTAATAGGTTTTAAGAGTCAGAACCCCAGTTCTGCAAGGCAGAATTCCTGTTCAAAGCCAAAGTCAAGCTGAGAGACCCTCTGTGAAATGAAAGGAATTGTCTCCTGAGAGAAAGTGTGCAATCACAATGCTGGCCCTGCTTGAGGCCCTGGAAACTCAAGAAGCATTGAGCACCATGGTAATAAGTTTGCCCAGATCACCTCCTCTGGAACTCAAGAAGGTGTGTTTTTCTGTGGAGACTGTACCTTAACCTGAGGTATGTCTTAGCTCTGGAAAAGAATGGGATACAGCTCTCTGAAATTCAGGACAAAGGTTTCAACCTTTGTAGTATATGAGTGAATACAGACTTCCACTTACAGGGCTGAGGCAAGGGAGGGCTCTGTGTGTAGCTGGCTGACTTGGGTGTGAGCCTAAGAGATACTGTTCCTAGTTGGGAAGTTGTGACCTTGTAACCTTTATTTCCCTGCATCGCCCTGCCTCCCTGGTGGGGGGTGGGGGTGGTGTAGGAAACCAGAGAAGTATACCTGAAAGCTGAGAATTTAGCTCTGGGGCAGGGCATGTAAAGTGTGTGCATGTGTCTCTGTGTGTGTGTGGGGGGGGTGTCAGGTGGTGTAAGGAGGAGATGGAAGGAAGTATGGCATGGTGTGGTGGATGGGGCAGGAGTTGCAAAGAGGGCTTCAGAGGCTCAGGCTTTAAGCTCTGTGTGAAATAGCCCCAGGACAGTGTGGGGGATGGGGAAGGCTAGGTGTCCTAGGGAAGTAGAGTGAGCAAATCAGACTCTCCCCTTTATACAGCCTCCACAGCAGTGCAGTTCCATAGCAACCTGGCCCTGCTGTCAATCTTCAGAGCCTGCCCTTAACCGGATGTGGTTTACCCTCTCTTCCTGTGGGGAGGGGAGGAACTGGGTCTTAGTGCCCGTGGCACAGAAGCTGCCATTTGCTGCTCCGGACCAGCTGCCGGCAAGTTCTTACAGAGGCCTGCGGTCAAGGTAAGGACCCTAAATGTGTACCAAGGAACAAGTATCTCTGGAATAAGTATAGGATCTGTGCTTGCTCTCACCATTAGGTCAGCAAGCTTGCCCTGGGAAAGTGTGAGTTGTCTTGTAACTGCATGTTTCCGTGAGGAAATGGGGGCCCCGGTCTTAGAAAGTAACCCAGATTCTGAAAATGGTGCCTTCCTAGGTCACAGTTAAAGCCAAGCTTTGGTTTCTAATTGGTAAGGAAGGAACCTTGAACCTAATACACAGTGAGCTCGCCCGGCACTGGGCTGTAAAATGCCTCAGGCAGAGTCCACTAGCATATGAAGTGGGCCAGACTTGATCACTAGCAAAATATGGAGTTAATATTTAAAAAATGAGAAATGTAAACATAACTGTAGAAGGCTGGAGAGATGGCTCAGCCGTTAAAGGCTAGGCTCAAAACCAAAAACGTAACAGAAAAAAAAAAAAAAAAAAAAAAACAGAAAAAAAAAATCCCTCATGTCAGTGAAATTCCTCGGGGAGTAAAAGCATTTACCCCTATATTCAAAAAGTGAGTTGGATCCATAAAACCTACATGGTGGAATTAGAAACCCAACTCCTAAAAGTTTTGTTTCCATTTTTAAATGCTTGAGGTAGTGTTTGTAACCACCATCTTGGAAAGACAACCTTAAAAAGCCTAGAAAGGTACTGGGTTAGCAAAGCCCAGCATGGGGTGGGGGGAGGTGTCAGGGAGCCAAAAGGAAAAGGTACTTTTAGGCATAGGGTAGCCACGCCCAGCACGTGTAGGTCTGAGGAAGCCCTGCTTAGGGTATCCACCACCAGCTCCTGGAAGGTAGAGGGGTCCTACTCAGGGTAGCCACACCCAGCATATGGGAGTCAGAGGAAGCCTTAATTTGGGTAGCCACGCCCAGCGTAACTTCAGCTAAACCCAGCTTGTGGGAGTTAGAAAAAGCCCAACTTCGGGTAGCCACGCCCAGCAAGTGGGAATCACAGGAAGCCTAACCTCGGGTAGCCAAGCCTAGCAAGTAGGAGTTAAGTCTACTTTCTAGTAGTAGCCATGCTCAGCATGTGGCAGTCAGGGGAAGCATAACCTTGGGTAGCTATGACCAGCCTAACTTTGGGTAGCACATCCAGCACGTGGGAGACCGAAGAAGCCTAACTTGGGAAGCCACACCCAGCAAGTAGGAGTCAGGAAGTCTAACCTCGGGTAACTGCTCCAGGCATGTAGGAATTAAGAGGAAGCCTAACCAGTTACTGTGCCAAATGTATGATGATCAGAAAGAACCACATACCGGAAATCTCTGGAGGATTTTATAATTTCTTGAATTACTTTAAAATCAGAAGTGGAGGGAGAAACAGAGCACAGCTAGGTAATAGTGTTTGGTTAGGATTTGTGAAGCTCTGGCTAAAGTTGCAAAGACCGCAAAAGCAGATGTTACTAAATTTAAATAAATACATAAAAGATCGGTGGCGCAGGCCTTTAATCACAGCACTCAGGAGGCAGAGGCAAGGTGTATCTCTGTGTTTGAGGCCAGCCTGGTGAGTTCCAGGACAGCCACAGATAACAGGGAAGCCCTGTCAGGGGAGGGGGAGGGGAACCCTCCTTCCAAAGCTCTCATATACTGTGAGAAGTAAGAAGATGGTGGGAGATTGACCGGGATGAGGAGAAAAACAAGTGAGGAATTACAGCAGTGGGTGTGGGAAGTGGGAAATGTATGACCAGAGTACATGGTATATGTGTATGGAATTTTACAGCAGTTCCCATAGCTCAATAACATGAATGCAGACAAAATGTCTGTTTAAAATGCTTAAGCTGGGTACTAGCATCCAGGTTGAATGCAAACTGAAACTTAGTGCATATCATGGCATGGCGACATTTAAAATGCCCCTGAATTCGGAGCTCTCTCCTCTGAAAGCTTTCTCTAAGGAGGAACAGCCTTGGTCCCTTATAGGCCCACTTTAGCCTTAGTATCCAGTGCCTTACATCAGTGAAGATCTATGAAGGGGAGGGAATCACTTTAAAAATAACGGGAATGGGGCAGGCGCTAGAGTGTGACCTGCATATGTGGTCTTCATTAGCCACAGTCACTGTACCCAGAGCATTTTCAGCCCAAAAGGTTAAGATTAGTGTTGTGAGTGTCAGCATCTCCCTCTCATGTTTGTGTGTGGTGGTGGTGGGGGGGGCAATCTGTGTTTCCTTAGTGCATGTATATATGTGTGTATCCCAATAGTGAGTGCATGCTTGTGGAACCCAGAAGCCAAACTCTGAGGTATTGTTCCTCTTGTGTTTAAGATGGGTTCACTTCATGGCTTGGATCTGGCAAACAGGCTATCTATGCTGGTTGCACAGCTCCAGGGATCCTACTGTCTCCACCCCAGTACTGAGATTATAAATGCAATCAGTCACACTTTGCCTTGCTTTTTACTCATGGATTCTAGGTTTTTAAGCTCAGGTCCTTGATTTTGCAAAGCAAGCTCGTCATGGATTGAACTAGCATCCTAGCCCATCAACATGTCTTTATTTCAATGCAGAGGTAAAATATCTGTTTGATATTGTGGGCCCCCGTGAAAAGGAGGATGGTGGTGTTATGCTTAACATGGAACCTAGGAAAGGAACTGCAAATGCAGTTGAGGAAACCAAAGAGCTTTTGATGTACTGTTACAGAATTTTCTCAGCACTCTGTACCCATTCATTTCAGTAGAGTGAGCTTCTGGATGCTCTTCTCCAGGCTCCTAGGCATCTTTCATATGGCAAAGAAAGTAGAACACTTCTGGATATGAATAGAACTAAATGTACTCAGGCACTGCTGTAAGTCAGAATTAATGGATGCTGGTGAGGAGAACAAAAGCCCAGTGTATTGTCATAGCAATGTTCTCAAATGTGGGAAAAGAAATTTTAGGGAAATCAAAGGTGTTTGAAATATGCAAAAAGTAAGTATGTGTTACTTTCCTGCTCTAGGTGACAAGGTCACCTGCTCCCCAAACTACTGCAGCCATCATGCCCAGAGGAAAAAAGAGTAAGGCCCGTGCTCGAGAGAAACGTCGTCAGGTCCAAGATGAGACCCATGGGCTAAACGATGCTCTGGCAAAGGCAGCAGAGAAGGAAGAGTCACCGGCCTGCTCTGATCAAGGTTCAGGAAATGCTAAGCCAAGCAATTGTCCTGCTGGATTCCCACAGGGTAAGGCACCCACCATCACTGCTAGTAAAGGTGTGGATTGCAAAAGGTCAGGTAAAGGTGCAAAGGGCCAAGAAGAGAGAAACGGGAGTTCTTTTAGGGCTCCACAACCCAGTGAAAGCATACAGATGGACTTTTTATCAAGGAAGACAGGAATGCTAGTGGAGTACATGCTCTGCAAGTACAAAATTAAACAGCCTGCAAAGAGGGGAGAAATGCTGAAAATTATCAACAAAAGGTTCAAGGAGCACTTTCCTGAGATCCTCAAGAAAGCTTCATATCGATTGGATCTGGTTTTTGGCCTTGAGTTGAAAGAAGTCCAGCCACATGGTCAATCCTACATGCTTATCAGCAAGCTAGATTTCGAGGATGATGGAAGTAGGAGCACTGAGTTCGGTCTTCCCAACAGGGGCATTCTGGTCCCCCTCCTAAGTGTGATCTACTTAAATGGCTACTGTGCCCCAGAGGAGGAGGTCTGGGACTTCCTGGATATGCTAGGAGTCCATGATGGGGTCCCACATCTCATCTTTGGGGATATCAGAAAGCTCATTACTGAAGATCTAGTGCAGGAAAAGTACCTGGTATACCGTCAGGTTCCCAACAGCGATCCTCCATCCTATGAGTTCCTGTGGGGTCCTAGAGCCTATGCTGAAACCACCAAGATGAAGGTGATGGAGTTTTTAGCTAAGGTTAATGAAACCATGCCTGGTGCTTACTCATCTCGTTATGAGCAGGGTTTGATTGAAGAGGAAGAGAAAGCCCAAGCCAAAATTGCAGCCAAGCCTGGCACTAAGGGCAAGGGACGTACTAAGACTAAGTTGGACAATCCTACTCACAAGTGAGATATAAGGTAGCTTCTGCAATGTGATTGAAAAGGTCTGTTCATCTTTTTGCAAACAAGTTGTTGATAAAGTTTTGGGGGTCTTTTAGCAAAGTATTAACTTGGAATTAAAATGTATACAGATAACATTTTGTAGACTGCCTTCACTGCTGTTTGTCAAGTTGAATGTTGACATTTTGAAATACAAATTAGAATTTTGCATATAACTTTGGTGGTGCTACATGAAAGTTCATGGCATTTATGGAGGAAGAATCTTGGAGATAGGAAAATATTTGAAAATGTCCAAGAAAGAAAGTCAGTCATTTGTTGTTTACTCCGTTACTTTTTTCAAACTTAGAGATGTATACTTGTTTTTGATATTAAAGAATGAATGAGAAATTCAATCACAGTAAATTAGATTTCTTTTTTAAAGCTTGTGCTCTACCTAAACTGTAGTTAAACATCCAGTCTTAGGAAGTCTTCAGACTATATTGAAGATGTTTATTCAAAGTAGATCTAGCATCTGCCAATGCAGTGGTATATTCTAGGAGAAGGTCTTATTATGTATGAGAATGAAAACTGATTCTCTTCCCAATGAAGAAAGAAACAGGTTTTCGTGGTATTGGACAGAAAGCATTTTTAAGCTGCTTTTTAAAAGAAAATTTTATTGCAATTTAAAATGCTGTATACTCTGTTATCTCAATTTGAACATGAAAAAATAATGCCAGGTCGATGGGTAGCAATGAATCATAATCAAAATGCTTATATTAATGATTCCACTTTTCTTTAGTCTTTCACACCTCAGATTTCATTTGTTGAGAAGCAGTATATACAGACATTTCAATTCTTAAAACATGTACCCAAACTCTGAAGTGTCATGTTGTGTTCATGTACCCAAAAGAGCTATGGGTTGTTTCTCTTTGAACTTTTTCCACTGATGTTCCAGCCTACAACTTGGCCAATTTTCCCTAAGACATCATGAAACAATCAAATCTCATAATCCTTAATTCCACTGACTCACAATTTTATATATATAGTACATACTCAAAATCCCCATATTTCATAGCACATTATCACAATTGTTAGGAAAATGGGCTGCCATGACCAAAGATGTTACAGTTCTGACAGGGCAAGGACTGAGGAGTGTATTTTTAGGAAAACCTTCTAGAAACACAAGACCAAATGTAACTGAAAATATTTCAGAAACAAATGTATGACTGGTACTCCAAATTACCATTTAGTATGCTTTGTGTTGCAGGATATAAAACTAGCCCCCTCCATGGAATGCTATGGTGACCCTCACCCAGGCATTCAGAGCCTCTCCTGATTCAGTGTCCTGCTATTTTCTTGTTATACCAAAAAAATAAACAACCAGCAAATGATTTAACCTCTTAAAAATCATTTATACTTAAAAAATAAGTTGAGGTGGGATTTTCTTCCACATTTTAAAAATGTTTCTAGAGCTATTAAACTTACATTTACAAAATAGTTGGTAAAAATATTCTTCTGGACTGGGCAGTAGTGGCACACACCTTTAATCCCAGCACTCAAGAGGCAGAGGCAGGTGTAACTCTGTGAGCTCAAAGCCAGCCTGGTCTACAGAGCGAGGTCCAGGACTGATTCCAAAGCTACAGGGAGAAACCCTGTCTTAAAACCCTGCTCCCCACCCCAAGTGAAACCCCCAAAATATCCCTCTGAATTGCACAAGAAGGATGGCAGGGCCAGTTGACAGACATTCAGAATTGGCTCCTTTTTAGTACTTCAGAGACTAGAGTCTGGTTTACCATCTCCTTTTTCTGCAGGCACATGTGTAGTTTGCTGTTCAGCCACTCAGCTTGTTTTCCCTTGGTGTCCCTCTTTTCTTTTGTTTGCAATTTTTGTCTGATTATCTTTTCCTGGGGCCATTCTCTGCTTTGAGTCATCCTTTGCAGAGGTGGCCTTGACCTCGAAGAGCCTTGCAGAGCATTGCTTGGGCTCCACCTTGCTGCTCCATTAGCACCAACCTTCCACTTGGGCATGCTGGCAGCATTTCCCAGCTGAAACTGAAGGAATAGCTGCAGTCTACCGTGGAGGCTGATTCCCACATTTCTATGAAGGTCGTCCAAGGTAGGTAAATGCACAAATGCTGTCCATTCAGTACTGTTTTCTCAGTCCTACAAGAAACAAACTCAATTTTCAGTGTTACATCACAATTCCCTCCCTCCCCCCACCCCCCAACCCGTTGAGAAACAATACATGCTTATTCACCCCAGATAGCCCAAAACAGACCAAAATATAGATAACACCCAAGTCTAATTGGTGAACCCTAAGTTTTATTGGGGTTAATTGGAGGAGTATAGGTACAGGGTTACTTACAGGAGAGGAAATGACTCAAAAGACAGCTTATCACCAAAGCCTCCCCCCACCACCCAGGAGTGGCCAACTCTGGTCAAAATAGCTGGGAACCGGAAGCACACAGACTGCAGGAAGATCAACAAGTTGGAGAGTGTCCTTTCCAGGTGCTGGAGTAGATCTAAAATTCTTCCAAGCAGCTTGGCTGGTTTCTGCCGCTTCCAAGAAGCTGCCCTGGTCTCAGAGTCTCAGCAGCTTTTCTCCTTTGAAAGTAAAGGCAGCACAGTGTTTGGCATTTTGGCTTTTTTGAGAGTCATCTTTGCTTCTTAGCTTCATTTCCTCTTAAGAGATTCTTCTTCACTCTGGCAGGGAATGGCTTAGTGAATCTGGTCAGTTTCAGAGACTTCCTGAAGGTAATGAGTTGTTTACCTTTCTGCTTAAAGAACATCCTGAAGCTATTTGAGTTGTTTACTGTCCTGCTTAAGGAGCTTCTTGTAAGATGAAGTGTTTCATTCCTCCAATCCTGGGAGGAAATTGTTGGACCACACTCTGGAGAATGAGAGGCCTACAGTGTTTTTTTTTTTTTTTTTTTTTTTTTTTTTTTTTCTTTTTTAATAGTTTCAAGTTCACAGCGCTAGTAAGTTAGGAGGTGAGACTAGGTCCCTTTTTTAGAGTCTACACTGCTCCATTACTCCTATTGATTTGTATGCTGTGGCTTTTTATTAGTTTTATTCTCAGCATTCTATCATGTGTCTGATATAAAGGAGTGACTTTTTTTTAATCAAAGTACTGAATTAAGATACATAGAGAAAGAGTCTCAAAATGTGTAAGTAAACAGGGGAAAATAGGCTATTCATGTTTATATTTTCAGTGTTATACATCCTCAACTGGTAAGGGGCATCAGGTCAGGGTGGTGATAGCTTTATCCTAGAGCAATTGCCAGCTGATATGTTCCTTCAGCTACTTTGCACAACACTTGTCACTGTGCATATCTGCTTCAATGTGGGGAATAATACTCATACAGAACTTACAACTAAATCTAATTCTGCTAATAAAGATAGTAATTTATCTGTTTTCCCTTATGTATCCTTCTCTATTGTCCAGTGCTATAGTTTCCCCATCACATACAATTTATAGAACAGCTACTGTTATGGGATACCTGAAGAGACTCCACCTGAGAGGCCCGAGTAATTCAATGATACTGAGCCTTTATTCTCCATGCACTGCTCTATCCCATACAGAGCAGCACAGGACAGCCTGACCTCTAATTTGCTTGAACTTGTAAAGGTAAAAACTGCAATTGTGTGACTTACACAGAAAGCCAGCTGTGGATATCTGCAGGAATCAAGCAGGTATTGTTTCCACAAGCAGAAAGATAGTAGCTAAGTGGTCAGGCTGTTCTCATAACCTTGAGGTCAGGGACACGTTGTGTAGAAATTTAAGTGACCAAAGACCAGCTTTCCCAAGATAATTTTAGCACTTAAAGTTTTTCTTAATAGTTTCATGAGATGGTATAGCTCAGGAGCCTACTACATTCCACACTGGTTCTAGCAGAATGAGTTGAATTGTTGATTCCTAGTTTGGAAGTTTAGTTTTAGTGCCCCCCCTTGTATGTTCAGTGTATTTTTCTCTTGATTATCTGGGAGATAGGGGATCAAAGGCTAAACATGACATATAAAAGTAAGTGCTAAGATACACAGAACAAGACAGAAAAATAAGCACCTGCTTTACCCAGGTAAATTTTGGTAACCATGAAGTGAACCATCCAGTCAGATCCCAGTTCCCATTTCTGTACGGTTTTATAACTTTTTTTTTTCTTTCAGTAATTCAATTGCTGCTGTCAGATTAAAACAGTACATTTTCCTGACTTCTTAGCATCCTCGCTGTTGCAGTAACACAGGTAATCAATAGTGGCACTGTTATCTATTATAGCCTGTCAATATGCTTTTGTTCTTTATTTAATAAGGAAATAGTTCTGGATGTAGAGTTTAAAACTTTAGCTATTTTCAAGGCCATCCAGCTAAGCTGCTAATCAGTGTATGCAGCCAGAATGGGGAGACCTATTACAGAGAACATGATGGCCAAAGTGTTAGCTTTTGAGAGGAAGACAATATGATTGCAGCATTCTCCAGTTAGGGGTTCTCTTTCAATTGGTTTTGTGAGATAAGTTACCAGGAATATAATTATAAGTGTAATGTTCATAATTGAAAAACCATCCTTCAGGCAAAGGAATATAGCCTGTCCTGTTGCAGATGACTTCTGTGTGAGAAGAATTTATTTGTTCCTTGGGTATTTGTAAGCATTTCTGGGTATGGTATTTTAGCACATATGTCCTTTGTATGTACTGTAACTCAGGGGATATGGGGTTCTATTGCATCCTATCTTTGTCATAAGAAACCCTTCCCCAATTTTAAGAATCTTTATAACTGGTGGACTTAGGAATACCTGTTAAAGGGTTAAACACGGTTGGGTTAGCAATGTCCTGGTTAAGTTTACAAACAAGAATAAGATAAGTACCTAAAATACTTCCAGCATTTAAATCCTCTTTTATATAAGTCATTAGTATTTACAATATGAGCTCAATTTACTCAGGTGTTAGAATATAAATGGTATCCTAATGGGTGGTTTTATTCTTCCCTTCCATCCCCTCCTCCCCCTTTTCTCCCTTCCCCTTATGTCTTAGAAATAGGCAGCCAAGACAGAGATAACATAGTAGAAAGGGGAGTCAGGTTTGATAGTACTAAGGTATTTTTATGTTTTATATGGAAAGTGTGGACTTGGATCCACCTCAAGGAGCTGGGTGAATTTACCTTTAAAGGATCCTCCAAGTGAGTGATGGTCCACTGGACATGAGTTTCTGTTGCCCACTTGTGCTGGATGTGATGAGTCTAGGGAATGATCCCAGCAACCTTAACAGCAGTGGGTGTGGTGTGGTGAGGTCCTGGGATATGTTTTCTTCCGATGATGCTGAAGTGTCTTTGGATGATGTCTCCTATCCCAGACAACAGCACTCACCTCGTAAAGGTGGGAAGCCAGATTAGAGTCTCTTGGTTATGTCTCTCTCACTGTTTTC